GAATGAACGATAACGATGAGATTCAAATAATTTTTTTTTCTGATAATTCATGAAAATCTATCTGGTAAGATAGTCAATACTTTTTGCAATAGATAATATAACATAGTATGTGATAGTGTCAATATCGTCGTCGACTGATGAGTCAGCCCAATTAATTCATCGTCGAAGGTTCATGGACCGACATAGAAGATCCATTGGAGAGATGGTTTGCTAGGGATGACCTGACCTTGAAACGATGAGGTCAAGTAAAGGAATGAAGGTCTTCCTTATTACAAGGTCGTCCCTTGGTTGTTGAGTCATTTTCTAGTTACGGGGTAGCTTTCTAGTTGTGGATCGTTTTGCATAACAGGTCGATGCTAGGATGTCCCAGCTTAACCTCTCCAATGTTTCATTTAACGAAAGTTAGCGAAAGACGAAGGGGAAGAAAAACAACAGTATGAATTGTGTAAATGAGTGAGCGGGGAGGTTTTTACTTGCTTAGCTCTCCTAACGCTTAGCTTGGGTCATGATTTTTATACTTAGACACCAAGTGATTTAGACATGCATTCTAAACGACAAAGACATTAATAGGAGGCATTAATGAGATATCACCTACGAGGTGGCGTGAGAGATTAGGACATGTTATTCCTAATAATATTTTATTTTTATGTCTTCAAGTCTACCAATCATACCTTGTGAGGGACTAATCATATTAACGTTAGTCATCTTGTTGCACCCTCAAACGTGTTCCGTGTTCCCACTTACGGAGACCAACAACGTTCTCATCGTGGTTTGTGGCTTGCAGAGGACCCGTGCTTTAGAGATGGTTCGTTGAGGATGATATGACCTTGAATGACGAGGTTGGGTAGAGGAATGAAGATCTTCCTTATTACGGAATCATCCCCTGTTTGTCGAGTCATTTTTTAGCTACGGGGTATCTTCCTAGTTGTTGATCGTTCTGCACAGCAGGTAAATGTCAGGATGTCCCAACTCAATCTCTCCAATGCTTAAGTCAGCGAAAGACGAAGGGGGAGAAAAATAACAATATGAGTTGTGTAAATGAGCGAGCGGAAAGGTTCTTGCCTGCTTGGCCCCCTTGACGCTTAGTTTAGGACGTGATTTTTATACTTAGGCATCGAGTGATCTAGACATGCATTTAGTAAAAACCCCTAAATGATAAAGACATTAATAAGAGGCATTAATGAGATATCACCTAGGAGGTGTCTAGAGAGATTAGGACATGTTATTCTTAACAATATTTGATTTTTATGTCTTCAAGTCCACCAATCATACCTTGCGAGGGACTAATCATATTAATGTTAGACAGCTTGTTGCACCATATTCTCTCAAACGTGCTCCGTGTTCACACTTGCGGAGACCAACAACGTTCTCATCGTAGTTTGTGGCTTGCAGGGGATCCGTGCTTTTGGTGCCAAAGTTGGGATGCGATGGCCTAACCCTAAGGTTTCATACAGCCACCGATGTGCTTGACAACATGCCAAACTGTAAACGGGTACGGTTCAAGAACAATTAATTGTATTGTACGATGGGAGGAGTCAACAACGTAGTTGACCCAAGAAAGTTCGCGAGTCAACGCACAACATTTTCCACAGCATGCGCGATAGATCATGCAATTGTTTCCTTTCGACATTTCAGACTCAGACGATGTGCAAATTAAATGGGCTTTTAGATGGAATATAAACAAAATAAAATATCACACTAAGAAAAGAAAATATATATATATATATACACATCATAATATTTATAGTCTCAGGGTTGACATTGTCTTAAATGTCGCGACAGTGATTTGTCCCCAGCCACACCAATCTATTAAGTTCCCTAATTCTGGTCGATGGTTTCAACTCTCGTCACTCGTTCGTGGTTTCGTCGTCCTGTGTGTTGATCATTAGACAGCTGAAGTAGGCATTCTGTACGCAGAGATAGGTGAAGTAAAGATGCTGCGGCACAAAAGACACGCTGATTCTTACTGGGAAACTCTCGTTTTGTGCTTCCTCTGCCTTCTCTTCTTTCTCGACAGATTTGAAGGAGCTACGACTGTTCCAGCAGAAGGTATGCGTGCTTACAACCTCCCTGCAGTCCCTGAGGTTATTTTGTATAAGAATTAATCATTAAAATGTGTATCTTTGTTCTTCAATCGCAATCGCCTGCAAGGAAGACAATTGAAGAGGCTTATTTGGTCATGCTTAAGCTCCTCCTATGTTTTTAATTAATAAAAACAACATTATTTTCAATATTTATGATGCAAGTCAGATCAAATGTCTCAAAGGAGGAGAGCGGGTTTTGGTAGCTGTGCCTGCGGTTTGTGCGTCTATTTTTGCCTCGATCTGTAACCTTTCTCTTTGGCCGTTCAGTTGCCGCGTTAAATGCGATCCTGGGGAGATGGGGATGGACGGCTTCGGCGACGTCGTCGCCGGCGTGGAACATCAGCGGAGAGCCCTGCAGCGGCGCTGCCATCGGCTCCACCGCCCTCGACGACCCTAACTTCAACCCCGGCATCAAATGCGACTGCTCTTACGACAACGGCACCACCTGCCACATCACTCGACTGTAAATTTCCGCTCGCTTATCTTCGTTTTTCTTTCTCATATTCTCCGTTTATCGATCACTACTTGTCTCGAAAACTGCTTAGTTTATGATCTGTATGTATAACAACTGTATTATTCATGTTATTCCTAATTTTTCTTCAAA